GAATTCTAACGAATCTGTAAACTCTGACACTGGGAAATGTGCATGGCTGATTTACACATATTCAGTCAATGTTCAACTCACGATTTATGAAGTTTTCTCCAATGTTGCACTGGATCTTGTTCATCCCAGTCGCCCTGTTGTAAGATCGTGAGACAGAGATTAATACAGTGTCTGGGAACACAAATTTTAGCTTCGTTTATTCACTGCACGAGCATGGTAACCATGTTATAAAAACTCCCTCTACATATTGCCTGTGAGGACGCACTTCACAAATAATATACACGAATACAAATGTATATACTGGACATGACATGTGGAGGTTATTATACGCATGTTTTACTTGTACCTTGGGTGGTAACAGGTTTGATTCGCACCAACGATTTGAACTATTTGTTTTTACTATTCTCTGTGTCACTGACATGTTTTGTTAATTAGGGTATTCAAATCTTGATGTCCTTTTGTTATCATTCTGATTTTCTTCTTCTTCTTCTTCTTCTTCTTCTGTGTAAAGGTATTTAAAGTTCGTAAAGCTTTGTTGTGAATGGTAAAATAGTTTGGCCTCCATCTTGGATTTCTTCCAAACAGGAAGGAATTTTAAACCGATGTCACAGTTATCTGATTTATTTGAAATTTAATATGTTACATCTTCATGCTGAACTACTTCAGAAAAAAATAATCCGGACAAATCATGTGACTTGGCCACCATATTCGACTTCACAACCGGAAATGGCCTAAAGAGTATGTATTTCTTAAGAGTGCTTATGTACATGTATGAGCAATAGGATGTGCATATTTAATTCCCACAGACGCATTATACTCACAAATTCACGACTTCACTACTGACTGAGGTTGTGCACATTGGGTGCAATGTTGCTCACAGCTTTAATATGGAATTCGTATGATCGGCGTACAAAGATGCGCACCTGCATTTTTGGAGTGAGCGTAACCGAGTCAATCTGAATTCACAATTTGAAATGAACTTGAAATTGACTTATGACTGTAAACAGTATAAGTGAAATTGTCTTGGTAAAATGTCTAATCATTTACACGTATACAATTTACAATTTTATATCCTTTAAATTCAGTTTAATGAAACCTGTTTGCATCGACTTCGCTTCTATTCGTTTTCTCCCCAATGTGTATTCTCGACATAGCGATGTTCTCCACACAATCACATCAGTTCCCAATTAATTATTTGAAAAATATAGTTTTTATTGCAATTAAATGCTGTTAAAGATGCCGTAACCATTAATACTCCGTATAGTCAAAGATCCAACTAAAGATAGCGTGCACACAGCAACACTGAGGTGTCGTGAGCCCAATATGTTTGAAAAGATGACGTAACAGCGTCAATTATTTGTTTCTGTCTATTAGCAGAAATAAAACCAAGACACACGACCCTGAAATAGTCGCACATAGTGCGAACGCGATCGTGTGGTGTATATTGCCTTTAAACTAAATTATAGATTACAGAAAATGAATTGATATGAATAAATCAAATGTGGTTCAGCCATTTCCTGCCACGTAATTTCATTCATTATATCATAAGTTATTTTTACATTTCTGAATTTCAGACTTGTCTGCGCACGAACCAAAACAAAAAGCTATTTAAATTAACAACATATATACAAGTAAAAGAGTCCAGTTTCACAAGATATGAGGTCATAACATCCACCAGTCGTTCAGTCAGATTTACCGATTCGTTGAGTTTTGAACCTAGGTAAGGTAATGTAAACAACGTAAATGCTCTGGTTGTACATGGGCAGTGGCTGTCACGTGATTGCACAATCATTTGCATAACAACATATTACCTCAGTTATCTGCCATATTACTAATTAACTGAACGCCGTGGTGAGAGGTGTTTGGTCGCTGATCGTGTTGGTCAAATTGTCCGTCTCGTGATCTTGGCGGTACATATTAGCGAACGCCAAAGCCTGTGCCGCTCCGTAAATAACCTCCGGTAATGTGGGCGACACAGGAGAACATGAGAGAATTGAGTCATCCGAAACCGAAGAATCGCTCCAGTCACATTCTCTTTTAATGCTTTGACCCCCGGTTGTTATATTTATTGGGGATTTGGGAGGCACTGAGTCAAAAGAAGCTGCTGTGTTCAAGTCACACTCGGCACTTTCCCATTGTGACGCTATTGTACAACTGGAAGGCACTTCGTTAGATGATTTTAAAGGGTAATTGTGCGATGACATGCGCAGAAACTCTTTCTCTTTTTCAATGTTATGGTTCCATTCCATGTACGGGCGCGTCCAGAGCTGCCTTTGATACATTTTCATGGCTGGAGTCTGCTTAAGCTTCATCTTCAGAGTTGTCACACTGCGTCCTTGTTCTTTGCACATCGACTGGTGGGTATCAAGTTTGGGACGGCGACCAAGTTTGATACCTGCAAAAAAACAAGACATTTTATATACAAAACAATTTATTTATTTTAAGAAAACCAATGAAACAAAAGTATTCCGCTACTCACTTCAAACAGTCGTCATTGTATACGTACACGAGGGCAGTATGAATGAAGTGGGCCTGGAAATCGTATAACATGTTTTATCAACAGATGATAATCGAACAAATTGTAAATTGGGACAACCATGATGATGAATTAATACATAAAAGTACAGAATATAATCATCAGCACTGTGTTTTCACTTCATCGCATCTTAAGACTTATACGGTAAGTATTTGTATGCTAATAATGTCTCATATCAACTACTAACAATGATGTGCATGTTAATTTAAACAAATTAAATTAATTTTGCAATGCGATTGTTGTTTTTCAATCGGGTCACATGATCTCAAATAAAAGAAAAAAAATACAATATGGACAATAACAGTTGATGAACAATAGGAATAAAATAATTATTAGTTGGGTAAAAACTGAGCTACATTCTCGTGAGCCGTCGATCCGAACAACAATAACTGCTCTTTTAACAGTCGCTTCAAGGGGCGTGATAAACGAAGATGACTGAGCTCTGAAACGAAGGTCCTCTTTTAACTGAATGCGCATGCGCATTCGTATACGTTGGTACATCAAATCATTTTTTTACGCACATCGTAAACTCTTGATCAAATTCATCAACACACAACAGCGATGTTGTCATCAACTTTAGCAACGTGGAACTTGAATGCAATCTAGGCCTGGTATGCAAATTAGAAGAATTTTACTCTTACCTTCTGGGGACATTCCTAAGGCCAAGCATCGATAAAAACGGCAATAGCGACATGAATTCCGCGTGTCAGGCGTCATGTTACAATTATTCGTCTTTGAACACATGTAATGAGCTCCCTCTCGGATACTTCTTCTGTAAAAACACTAAAAATAAGAAAAAACATAACCAAATTTTAGGGAAATGAGAGAATTTGAAAGTCAAATACAACTGAGAACAGAATTGCGTGACTGTATCAAACTTGGTCACGAAGACCATTCTTATTTAGTAACAAAAAAAAAAAAAAGATTTCATAACGTGAATGCATCATATTCGGTTTGTTGTTAAAAACGGCATGACCGCTGAAACGATCTTTGGGCAAAAATTGTATATTACTGATTCACTCATTCTTGTATTTCTACATTGTTTCCAAGCACTGCCCAGTCTGATAACTTGACATCACGCGGTAACACGATTGACCTATGCGAATAGCCGTTGCAGCGCATAGTATTTTAAAGAAATGTAGCCGGCTTAGAAGTTAACCATTGACTGAGCTGTGTCCGTGGCTTTTAAGATCGCAGTGGAATCAACAAGTCAGAAATCGTAGCAAATTTTATATTTTGTTTTTATATTTATCGAGTTGGCAGCATGTAATGTGTTTGTATTGCGCATCAAAATTCATATTTGAATGCGAAACTTTTGATTTTATATATATATTTGTCAATTATACAACACGATAACGTTTATTTACGTGCGTCTGATATCTTAAATGGCTGGCATGTCGTGAAAGCATTTTGCCAAGATTCTGGGTTGTACTCTTGACGCAACAAAGGCATTATTTCATATTTATAAATGTCAATGGCAGTTGAATCAAACAAACCAATCACCGAGCACAGTGCATAAATACACCATTTGAAATGTTATTCCGATGTTATTCAATCGGCCAATAAAAACCTCTCGTTTCAGTTTGCATTGTGAAATTTATAATTATTTATGAAGATGAGAGAAATGGCTATGTTACTCCGAGATTATCATATTGTTGCTATAGATTTTTTCACACTTTAATTTACTTCGCACCCATGTTATTGCAAGTAACGAGTGGGTGGTGCTCGAACGAGTAAAGCATGAGACATTTTTTTTTCGAATAAGTTTTTTCGCGCAACACGAATCTATTCAATCTGATTGGTCAGCTACCCTGGTTCAAGTGAGGGTGACTTCCGGTATAGGTGCTGCATTGTTTGTCGGATGTGTCAATTACTCTATTGTTGACGTCTAGTGGTCTCTGTAGTTCAGGTAAAGGGCGTGAAATTACTAAGCGTCGCCATAGATATACGATATGGTGGTAAATAGCAGACTCTCGTGATAACTTGTTTAAAACACGAGACTTCAGACACGCGATGTACATACAAGTACACGCTATTCTGTCCTCGGCTGTACTCGAAGATCGCGGATAACGATGTCACGCACAGTTCCTTGTTTAAACTTCGAAATGTTTAATTATGGAAATGTTTTATGAAAGAATGTCAAATTAAGTCAATTTCATTCACCTGAGTATTTTTCGCTAAACTCCAAACATAGGGGTTTTACGACGGTCAAATATATCCGCTTTGTCCAAAAGTAGGCTGAAATGTGTAGGAAAAAGTGCGTCGACATTTATAATATTTGCATATTATAAGTGTTCTGTGCATCTGTTTTCAACAGTTATGCATCACTTCATTCTTGGTTTGTGTCTATTGTTTCTAGTTGTCTCCTTTCTATTTCATATAGCATATATTGATATTGATATTATATTAATAATTAAGTAATGGTAGCGATTATTACGTCACATAAAAGGTTACAGTAATCACGTCTTGATCATGTTTGACAACACGGGATTGTTGATGGTTGGAGAGAACTGATAGTATTAGAATTTTTGGGTGTAATATTGACCATCAACAAAAGAAACACAATCTTCCGAGTGTGAATTCCACGGCACCGAGGAAGCATCACCTGTTAAAGTCTGGTAGATTTTAATGCCTGGCGTACTTAAGTGAGTGAGCGAGCGAGCGAGCGGGCGAGTGACAAAAATACCAGTAAGCTTGGAGTTACTGGGGACATGCCAGCAAAATACCAGTACGTGTTACTGGGGACGC